TGGCATACCTCTGAGGATGGGCCTTGACTGCTATGACTTCGCAGGAACGATAAAGCAAGAACCTCGAACTAGCCGAGAGGGCCAAAGTATTTCAGCAGAAGATCGCACGCAATTTCACACATACTGGAGAGAAGACTTGGCACCTTTTGGACCTCGACAAGAGTGGATGTTAAAATCTTTTTTTGCAACACAAGACATGTCATCATCCCGTCTGACTTTATGGTCAAATGGCGACTTGAGCCCAAACCCGATCCTGCAAAAATATCTGAAGCAATACCCCAACTCATTTGCACTCAACGTCGTGAATATCCCATCTCTTGCGGAAGGAACGGAGCTCGAAGGTAGTGATCTTCTGACAAGGAAAGACGCAAAAGCCTGGGTCGATGGAGACCTCATAAGACTTTTACTCCTCTGGAATTACGGAGGAGTATGGGTTGACATGGACTCGTTGTTGACTAGAGACCTTGAACCTCTTCTCGAACACGAGTTTGTCACTCAGTGGGATTGCTATGGTACGGTCTTTGCCCTGAGTTAACATCTTACTTCTAAACATACTAATTCATGCATAGACAAGATATACCTTCCTCTAAATGGAGCTCTGATGCGTTTTCGGCAGCACTCTCCTTATCTGTGCGAAGCATTCCATGTGATGGCCACCTCTACGCCACCTCGTTCTGGCTCTACGGACTGGGGTGCACTCCTTTACTTCAAACTCTGGCGTCGCCTCATAGCAGCATCCGTTCCACCGTTTCGAATACTTCCATTTTGTTTTAGTGATGGACGATCATGTAGATTGGACAACAGACTACCAGATCCGTTCCTCCCAGATAACAAGGCAGGCAAATGGACCATGGGTCTCGGACTGGAAGAAGATGGTGGCTTAGATCAAGTCCTGCACAAAATCTTTGGTGTCCATCTCCACAATCAATGGGAGAAGCCATATCCCAGCGGAGGTTGGGTGGAAAGGCTATTGTTAAAAAGATATGATAATAAACTCATTGGTGGGGAACTCTGATTGGTTTCAGTTATCAGTTACAGGTGATATATACATTATTTAATTATGCATTGATGCTACATGCAATGCTTAAACTACGAAGACTACCACGGACCAACGTTATGAAAGGTGTGAAATTTTTTCGGGGGTTCTTAACGAATGATGGGTGTTGTTTATTGCCGTTGTGTAATTCTCATCTGACATTCAAGAGTCTACAGCCACTGGCAGGCGACAACTAGCGCTGTTGTAGGATCAATTGTGAACACAGGTGAAGCTTGTGGCAGAATTCATAACTGTAGATCCGAGTCAAATAAAAGCTCGGCATGAGACTACATGTCTCCGAAGCATGGGGTCTATGTGCAACTCTCTAGAACAAAATCTTCTTATCTTTCTTTATACCTGTGTAATTGCCCCCTTGATTCGGCATGTCGATGAAGGTTCTGCGCAAACACTGCAATATCAAGGTAACTTGTCCTTGACCCCTTTCTTTGCCTTTTTCAGCTCTTTGTCCACTTGTTCTTGCAGCTCCCAACTATCTTCTCGCCGCTCTTGATGCTTTCTAGCTTATTCACTACCGTTGCGGCCTCAGTCCACACCGGCACTTGAAGTTCAGGGAGTAGGACGCGACACCCATCAGTTCTCACTGCGGACTAATTTCGTCACACATCACTCATTATGATTTTGTGTGAGAATCAGAAAGAAAAAAAAGGTACTGAACCGGCTCTTAAAAATGAAACCACTAAATTTCTGTATTCGCTAGGCCTGAAGCATGCCTGAGCGCAGCGCGATCATGATGTCCATCTACTGCGGGTCCTCAGGTGGTCAACCTTTTCTTAAATGTCAACCTATGCCTCGGCGTCAGCTTCAACTTGTGCGCAGTTTATTGGACATCGCATCGCCTTGTAATAATGTTTTGAGGGATATCTTCACTACATGGAAAGTTGAGGCCGATTTACAAGTGGTATAAAGCATCTTATCCAACAGGCAATATTTCAATCCAACAGTTCAGTATTCAATGTGTCGCTTTACTCCCCTCCTCTGTTTCTGCTTAGGAGCTATATCTTATACTCTGGCTTTCCCGCTCAACTCTCGTCATGGAGATTTTATCCTGCATGAGAAGCGTCTTGACTACCCTGACTGGAAGGTATCTCATAGACTTGAGGGTCATGTCAACATCCCATTACGAATCGGTCTCAAACAGCAAAATTTGGACGGCATACCTGACTATCTTATGGCCGTAGCTGATCCTGACTCTCCGACCTATGGACAACATTGGTCACAAGAGAAAGTTGTCGAAACTTTCGCTCCCTCTTCGCAGGCAAAGGAAGCCGTCCATACCTGGCTTATGGACGCAGGTTTTGATCCAGATAGATTAAGGCTCAGTCATAATAAGGGCTGGATCGACATACACGGAGCCACGGCCATGGAAGTCGAGAATTTACTGAATACCGAATATCACGTATACAAGCATGATAATGGAGTTGAACATGTTGGTGGGTCCATATATGCGCATCTTTCTTTGATATATTGATTGATAAGAGATGATAGCTTGCTCTGAATATTATTTGCCCGAGAGAATTGCTGAACATATAGAGATGGTTGCACCTACGGTCCAACCTAATATCAAGCTAATCACACTGGCGACATCGGTTAATAGACCTACAAAGTCGCGCGAGGCTTTGGAGCATGGGCAAGGTCTCAAAACTCGTTCTACGACTGCTGTTACTACAAGCCCAGGTTCTCTCGAAGGTTGTGACACGACGACAGTACCCAATTGCTTGAAGACATTATACAACATGACTTACTCTCCAAAGGCCACGGATCGCAATACCTTTGGGATTGGTTTGTTCTTTTCTTCTCTTCGTTTATAATTTCGCCATCTGAAAAATTCTGATAGTTAGTTACTTCAGCAACACTTACTTGCAATCCGATCTGGACACTTTCTTTGGCAACTTTTCACCTTCTTTAGTCGGCACTTCGCCCACCCTGGTGTCAATCGATGGAGGTAGGCATCTCCGTTATTCTGATGACTCGAGTTGAACGATGACGAGTAAATAATGTTAGGTTCTATCGAAGTGGATGCGTCTAGTGGTGTTGGAGAGGATGGCATGATCCTCCAATATGCCATGTCTCTTGTTGCGCCTCAGAATGTACAGTTCCTGCAAGTCGGCAACAACCAAACCGATTTAAATCTCCCAGGTAAACTTGTTCCACACCAAACCTAACCCCTAAATGATCCATAATCTGCGAATAGGCCATGGTCCTTCTTTCAACGAATGGCTCGACGCCGTAGATGGTTCATATTGCACCGCAGGCGGAGGAGATGACTTCACCTACGACCCTCAACTACCCAACCCTCTCCCAGGTGGATTCAACTCATTCAAGGACCACTCGTGTGGAATCGCCAAAGCTCCAAACGTCGTTTCAAATTCTCAAGCAGACCATGAATATCGTTTCCCTCAATTCTACTTGGAAAGGCAATGCAATGAGTTTGCCAAGCTGGGGTTGATGGGCGTGACTATTTTGTATTCTGCTGGGAATTCGGGAGTTGCAGGAGCACAGAGTGGGTATTGTTTGGACGATAATGGTAAGTCCATCGGCTCGCTGTGCACGGATTGGCTGCTGAACGTAAGCCTCGGTGGATGGTAGGCTCTATGAACCTCAATGGAACTCACTTCAATCCTGCGTGGCCAGCCTCTTGTCCTTGGGTAACCGTTGTTGGTGGAACTCAAGTCAAGGCCAATGCTTCTGCTGGCGATGCTTCTCCTGAAGAAATATGGAACCAAGACTTCACCCAAGGTTTCTTCCAATCTGGTGGAGGAGGCTTCAGCAACCGTTTCCCGCAACCTGCATATCAGAAAGCTGCACTGGATAGCTATTTGAACTCATTGGCCAAGACCGATCCTCAGGCGTTCTCAAACTTGAAGAATTTCAATTCGAAAGGTGTAAGTGCATATACATGTCAAGTGTGTCAAGTTGGAAGACTAAACCTGGTCTCTTTTCTTGTTGTAGCGGGCATATCCTGATATAAGCGCTGACTCGTGAGGAAGCCTAATTATTATGAATTCTGAAAGTATATCCTAACGATCTGGCCCTTCAGGAATGCCTTTCTCAACATCGACCAAGGCTCGATTTCGATTGACAGCGGAACTTCTGCGGCAGTCCCTACCGTCGCCTCTATAATCACTCTGGTCAACGATGCAAGAATTTCTGCTGGCAAGAAACCTGTTGGTGCGTTCCTTATTAATACATATCAACTTGCTTGGTATTCATGAAAGTTCCTTGTCCAAAATAGGTTTCATCAATCCAACGGTTTGTAAATCTGGCTTTCGGTGACTATCTTTGATTTGACTTCGAGTGTCCAGATATACTCGGCTCAATTCCAGAGTGCGTTTAACGATATCACTTCCGGCACGAGTCAGGGATGCAAAGGCTGTAACTATTAAAATTCCATGATCAGTCCCTACTCAAGCTGATGCCTATACTACAGTGCAAGGCCATCGTGATGGAGGCTTCGTAGCGTGAGTATTGAATCACTGCTCTAGAGAAGTTTCGATGACCTAAATTCTGATTTCTGATAGAACCAAAGGTTGGGATGCAGCGTCAGGTATGTCTCAATTGGTATGAAGAATCGGATCCCTTGACCTTACAATTATTAGGTCTTGGTAGTCCTAATCTTGGGATACTGATTGAAAAATGGGTGGCATTGCCTTAATCTGATGGACACCTTAGCGTTGAGCGATCGCGAAGTTAATGGACTAATATACATATCATTCATTGATTCATTGGTAGTCTACAAGTATTGTGATAAAAATGATAGAAATAACGCTGTGCTTAATGTGAATACACATACTCTCTCCTGGGTAACTACATGGCACTTCATCAAATAAGAGTTCAATACAAGTGGCATTGAACAAAACCGGCGGAAATTGTAGACTTCCAAGTAGAACTTGCCAGGATACAGCACAATGATGGGGGTTAAGAGATGGTGTTGGAAAGTGAGCAGAGGCAGAGAGTGAGAGCTGTAGATGACAGAGCGAAGGGTCGCTAGCTGGATGTCAGATAGGATTGATCTGCCTCATTCCACCTTCCCTGATTCCTGTATGTGCTTGCTAGATTTGCCATGCTGGTGAGGGTGTCTGGATGTTCTGCACCAAGCAACTTCTTCCCCTCACCAGTATTGGCAAGGATGATGATATCGTCCTGGCAAATAAAATTAGTACAATTATTGCGCAGCGTAGGACAAAAAACTTACGAAGATGCCATCAGTGATGAGTAAATTCTGGGCGTTCGCGATGAAAATCCGAAGGCCCAAGCCAGAGTGCTGAGTATATTAATCATCAGCAAAAGCCGGGAACGTATGGTGTAAGCAACTCACCCAGGGATCGTGTTCTGATTCCATCGATCCCAGGATTATGGCATCAGGCGAGGGCGATTGTGCAGTCTGATCGACGACGATGATTGAGCGATCATGCAAATATTATCGATAAATGAGCACTCACAGTAACGTTAGCGACTTGGATAACGTTTGCAGTCGCAGCACTAGGGGGAACGGATGGCATAGGATCACCGGCGCTTATTATGATTTGCACTTCAGCTGCTTCAGGCCTTAGGGGGCTTGAACCACGATGATCAGAGATGGATAGTTTGGATTTTTGGACTTGCCAAGAAATCCCTTCGTATCGTTGAGGTAAGTTGTGGTGCTCGTGCTCGATACAGAGCAACCAAGGTGGGTGAAGAGAAGGAAAGACGCTCTGGATTTATACAAGCACGAGATGTTCAAACTCCGACGATCTCTTTGTTCTCAGAAGAACTTCAAGAAGCAAGAATCCACGGTCACATTACATCCTGGTTAAATCGACCGGCGCTCAGGCTCCAGGCTGCCCATCCGTCGTTTCGGGGTTTACAAAAAAATGAGCTTGATCATTTGACTGGTATGCATTTCACGATTTATAATGACAAATACAATCATTGATCTGATCATTTATTTCATTTGTAACGCAACTCTATTTTTTTGTGCCTCTGTCGTGGAGGGTTATTACAGGTATAAAGAAATAGAGTTGCGGTGAATAAAATATCAATGATTGTATTTGTCATCTAAATCATGAAGCTCGTTTTTTTGTAAACCTCGAAACGACAGATAGGCAGGAGCCTGACCGCCGCTCAGTGCTCAAGGTAAATATATCAGCTCAATAACCCTCGTCACGTCCCATTGAATTAATGTAGATAGGCCACATAGCAGTTGTTAACTTATTAGAAGAGTGAACACGTGAAAAAATAAAATTGATAAACGTAGAAAATAATACATGTTCGTAAATAAATAAATAAGGCAAGCAAATAGCGCAAGTGTTACATAGTAGTAGTACGAACAATGTGAGCGCCTTGTTTCCGCCATCCGCAATGACAAAGAGGACCTGAGCGTAGGATGTAATGAAGTCAGGGATATGTAATGTAGTCTGGTGATAGAAAGAAAAAAAGATGTCAAAAATATATAGCATGTGAATGGAAAGAGCACGTCATGAGAAGGTATTACAATACCATCCAAATAAGAGCAAAGATGAAGCCCATAAATATCGTCGGCGAACCGTGGTAAAGCGACATGGCAGCGCTGATTGTCGTCAGCGCAAATGGCGCACCGCAAAGACCAACTGCAATCTGGGCAGAGACTTGGTAGACACTTTTCAGCGCTGTCAACAGTGTCGCTTGGGATGGGTCTTCGAGAGCAGTCGCGTATATTGCCATGACGCTTTTAGAGCATGCCGAACATGAAGGCGTCGATGAACTCGGAAGTGGCATACCCAGAGGTAGAGAATAGAAGTAGAAGTCTGAGGGGTTAGGGTCTTGAACAGCATTTAGGAAGCAGTACGTGTTAGTTGTGGGATCTGCAAGACAAACTGTGTCATGCATAACCCGGAATGCTCGTAAAGCTAGATGGCAGTGCAGGGCACAATGTCAGCAGCAAGATTGATGCATGAGGATTTTTTGTAACACACCTATGAGACTGTTAACCGCCAATAAATTTTGATCTTTCAACTCTTGAGAACATGCCGTCTGAAGTGATGATGCAAACGATGCCATATTAGACTGACATTGACTATATGGCAGTGTCGTATTACATGTTCCCCAAATAAGGGAATTCATGAGAGTCAAGTTAGACTGGGCCTGTGTATATATCAGTTAGAAAAGACAGTAAAGTTGCATATGGATACTGATATGGATACTGACCTTGTTGAAAGTCGAGGAAGTCAAAAGAAGGAAAGAAAATGGGCGGCATTGACGAAAATCCATCGAGACGGTCATGTTAGTGAAGAAATTCAAACATGACGGACTCGAGAAATTCTGTCCAAAGGCTCCATCAAAAGCCTGAGGGAAGGGCATTGGAAGCGTCGGCGGGGAAGAAGGGATGGTCGGCAAGGCCTGAGATGCTGCAGGTACTGACGCCGTTGGACTCGCAGTCGTTGATGTCGAGGATGAAGTTGTTGACGTTGATACTGGCGACGTTAACGAGATAGAGGGTGAGGCATCTTGAGGTTCCGGTTCTCTCTTCCAATTTGACTGATCGGAGACAAATCCGTGCCATGAATGAGGCGAAGATGATTTCTGGACAAGCCTAGTTGAGGAGGTGGTGCAGACGGTGAATGTGATTACAATGAGTGGTACTAGAATTATCGCCCATAGAAACCGTCTGCCAGTGCGTCGTTTCGTATTACCTGAGTTCCGCGAGTCAGAAAAATTTTCCGGGTTGTGGAGCTCGGTAGAGGGTATAGGTGCCGAAGTGTTGAATCCACCGGTTCTGGATGGTTGGGGGGAAGGGGGAGGTGTAAACATGATAGCGTACAACCTTAGGAGTGAGCGTCGAATAGTAAATGAACGTTAATGCAAATGAGTGTGATAGTTTGATGTGCAGCAAGTACGAAAAAAGAAAATCGCAGGTACTTGGGTCGTATGACAAGCACTGTATTGTGTACGCGATGAAATAGATCCGTAGGAGGAGATGGACCTCGCACGCTGACGATGAATATCAGATATGAAGCAGAAGGCCCTGGGGAACGTCTGTGCACGGACGCGGACGATGGGGCATGCCAAAGAGTGGGAAAAAGGTTTCAATCGGGGGCTTTATGACATGTCTGATTTTCGTGACCAGCAGGGTCGTATTCGTGACAGATCTGATCAATGTTATGAAATTGAGTGATTTATTAAAAAACGTACGTTTAGATAATACGACTCATGAGGTCTTCTTGGGAAGTTTTTTCGATGCGCAAGAACTAAGTCGCAACACATGGCGCAGAGAGTCTAGACAGATACGCCGCGAACCGTGTTTTTGGCGGGCCCACCTTTTTTCTTGTATAGTATGTCACCTCTGAATGCTCTTGGCACCTCTTGGAACTCAATCGAAAAAAAAAACAAAGACCATATACTAATAGGGAGGTTAGTATGGTTTGTTATGTAGGAGACGTCAGCGCGCTCATGCACACATGATCACCCTGCAAGTTGCAGAATCAAGCGCCGTCTCCTTTCCAGTATCATAGAAACTCCAGCATCTTGTCGTATATCTGCAAGGTGGTACTCAGTCAAATCAAATCAGCAAATCAAAGTAAACCGAGGGCCTTCCATCCGACGCGGGTGTGTAACTGTATGTAACATGTATGCCCGACGTCGACGTTTGTAAATTGAATGCTGCATGCTACTTATTGCCGAAGCTCGGAGCCATTATAGTAATTTATACGGTACGTGATATTGGACTTCCCTAAATATCAGTTAAGGCCGACACACCTCGCAACAGACTTGGGCGTCTGATAATAGCAAGAGTAGCGATCTCTCCACAGTTCCTCCTCCGGGATAAACATTTGAGGCTCGCTTTGAAGTGTCGAGAATAAGTTATTCAGAAAAGTTAGTTGGGTTTTTTGACCTGAAAAACACAAAAAGGGACCAAAAAAAAAAAAAAAAGTTTCCACGGCTGGGTTGGTTTATCCCAAGTTGTCTTCCACTAATGATTTGTACCGGGTTTCCACGGATAGTCTCGTACCAAGATCGTCCACGTGTGGACCTCTCACGTTTTGAGAGGTGGCTTAGTTGAGCCTAATCAGACGGACACTTTTTGACAAGTTACTGATGGGTATTTGATGGTAGCCACCATTAAACACGGGGTTAACAGAGCCGGACTCCTGGTTTCGTAGCCGACACTGCCATACGTTTTTGGTATTTCAGAGCATGCACGGCGGTGTGCCACACTGTCGACATCTAGTACGCATCATTAATTGATGCAAGTGTCACTTCAGCTGCAAGTATAAATACAATATCTACTCACATCATAGAGCTGGTAATCTTAGACTATGGTAATCCATATGCATAGAGACACACTGTTCGAGTACATGGTGCTTTTTTTGTCAATTTTTTTTATTGTAAGTAATTTCTCATCTTGAGCATGACGTGAGTAACATATGACAAGGTGTGAAATTTCACTTCATGATGACGCAGATGCCAGAGTGGCTGAGACAACGTCGAGTTGGACATATGTCGTCAATCTTCCCAACCAACCGGTGTTCAATGTAAATCAACTAAATGACCCTGATCGCTGTCTATCGCGTATCCAGGTGGGTATTGGATGACGTTGTTATGTGCGCCAGGATACGAGATTGACATGTCATCAGGGCAGACATGCAGTAGAAATAAAATAAGTGGTGATTGAGGCGGTGATGACGATGCTTCCTCTTACTTTTGCTTGACCATTCCCCTGCAAGTGCGAATATAGGCGAAACCCCAAAGCACGTTGCTTACTGTCCAATGGCTTGGGCACAGAGCCAGCTCCTGGTGGGATTGATATTGAAGTTTCACTGTTTCAGCCAACGAAGAGAGCCCTGCAATTCCATAATTCAACCGCACGCTTCATTGATTGGTGCCTGCGTGTAGATAGACAGTGGGAAGACTAGGTAGGTCCTTAAGAAGTTATCCACAGCTATGACGCAGTACACGGGTGATGCGTGTGGTGTATGAGAACCTTGATAGAAAAACCATTGGACCATCGTGGTTGTAATCGTGCGATTCGTGTTTTGCCGGCACTTAGCTTGTGCTTCTTTGGGGATGACACCTCTATGAATCTTCGTTCGCAATGAGGGAGGATGAACATACAGCCAATAAGGAAGAGGCTCCAAAAAAGCAGAGGCTCCAACTACGCCAAATATAGACTTAGAGTACATGACTTCCACCTAGGAAAATATCCACGTTAATCATCAAATCATAGTCAGCAGGAAACCGAGGTAACTGACCATCAACCAAGATGTCGACGGCTGTAATATACCTGCCAGAAGGACTACAAAACAGATCGCCTACCCTACCCATCGGGATTGGTTCCTTATAATCTTGCGTCCAGCTTACAGCCTATTTGTCATGCCAGTGGATCATGCAGGTTTCTAGACGGTACCCCGGACTGATGCTGTTGACTGGAATAATATTGGGCCCATTCACCTGTGAGGGTGCTCTTGAGCTGGAGCAATCCAGCTTTGGAGAAGGCATATGCTGTAACCGGTGAGGCAATCATGGCCTTCTAACCAGCCATCGAGGAGGTGAAGACGATGCTTCCTCCCGTTCCTGGCTTTACCCGCAACAGCAAGATTCAGTTGAGATTGACTTGCAGATCTTCAGGTTCAAATTTCTGTCCAACGATTGCACGCAGAACCAGCTTCCAGGGTTGACTCCAGCCATTCTTC